CACAGTGCTTTCCTGTGACTCATCAATTGTGTTTCTTTTTTAAAGATTTATTTATTTGTGCATACAAAACTGGGGTACAGGCCAGAGGTGCAGGGGTAGTGAGAGGATTCACCAGAGGCAGAGTGGGGAGCAAAAAAGGCAGATAGACAAAATATACTGGCGGGAGCAGCAGGCTGGTCAGGAGAGGTCTGCCGCGCCATGTGCTCATCTCTCTGGCGGGGGGATCGAACTTGTGCTGCAGTGGCTTCTGGAGCTTCATAACGTGGTGCTTTAACCCATTGTTCCACCAGGTTGAGCCTAGTACTTTCTTTTTAAGGGTTATTTATGCAAACACGAACTGGGGCACAGGCCAGAGATACAGTGTGAGAGGATTCACCAGAGACAGAGTGGGGAGTAGAACACAGATTGACTGAAATCCACTGAGGGGAGCAGCAGGTGAGACAGGAGAGGTCTGCTGTGCCTTGTGGGTCAGCTCCCTGGCCAGGAATAGAAGTCGCTGCAGTGGCTGCAAACAGCATCAGAGTGCTGCGCTTTAACCCATTGCGCCACCAGGGAGGGCCCTCTAGATGTGTATTTGCTGTCTGGTTAAAAAGAAATGAGACTGAGACGAGTGAGATTATGTTGTTTCAGCTGAAGACAAACCAAACATGGACTTCACTGGATGCCGATTCACTAGATGACTTTGAAACACCTGGTAATATCTGACGAACAGGTGGGAGGCTCCATGCCAGATACCCCCGAGGTGCTCAGTAAATATGTGCTGATCTTACTGCGCTTCGACTGATGCTTGATGGCTTCATTTACAATCTGCGTGGAGAGGTGAGGAATCAAGGGTGAAGGTAGAGGATCTGGCACAGGTGTTAGAAAAATCATTTCATTTTTTATGTTTGAGGCATAGGCGTATAGTACAGGGAACAGTGTTTTTCTTTGTCCCTGGGAACCATGTGTTCTCAAGTTTTGGCCTTCATCTTTCATGGCCATAAAATGTGTTTTCTTAGACAGAATTTATAGAAAACTCATGTTCTTGTTGAATAATTTTAAGATTGATTTATAGATTTCTTTTTAATTGTGTTTTTTTGACTGTAAAAGAAATAGGTTCTGGCTATGAAATCTAAACTGTTACCAGAGACAATAAAGTTGACCAAGTCATTCATCATGATAAAATGGCTTATCAAGCATAGTTAAAGCAACCCAGGAGTTGATAAAGAAATTTTGATTTGTTCTTGTAGAAAGATTTCTTGTTAAGTCCAAAATACCCCAAATATTGTGATACCGAGATATAAAATGTACTTACATGTAAAAATTAAAAGCATGTAGGAGACCATGTATTTGTCTATGGACCTAATAAAAGACACACATTTTATTACAAATTTCTTTTATTTTGCATTCAATAGAAAAGCAAGTTTGGAATGTATTTACAAGTACTATACATTTACATATATTATATACAGTTAATGAATTTAAAGGACAGAGAAAATATATATGGAAGAATATACCACTGTCCCTGGTTTATTATCATGATCCTTAGTGTCATTGAATCTTTACTGTAGTAATAAATACAGTTCTATATTTACACATCTTATAAAACATCTCATAAATGTATTTTCTTCAACTCCAAGTTAAAACATCTGATCAAAATAAACATGCTTATATAAAAATAAATCTACCTAACATTCTTTTGGTTTTGTTGTATTGAAACTAATATAGAATAGTACTTTTGAATTAATTCTATGACCTTCAATATTTAATCATTTTGGCTCTTAAAATACCCAGAACATGTATTTAAAGTGGAGTAAGTAGAGAGGTCATATTCTTATTCATGGCATCATGTGGGTTGATCCCAAGACAACACAGCTAAAACCAAACTAAATTAACAGGATTACATGTTATCAAGTCTTTGTTGAGTCCCAAGTGGTTTCAGACAGTTGCAAGAGTTACTGAAAAAACTACAAGAAGTTATGTGAGTGAACTTATGTCAGGTCTGCATTTGATCATTATTTTTAAAAATTAAAAAAAGATTTATTTTATTTATGTATACATGAGTTGGGGTGTAGGCCAGAGGTTTGGGGGTTAGAGGATTCACCAATGCCAGAGTAGGGAGCAGAACAGGCAGATTGACTGAAATCCACTGCTGAGGGAGCAGCCAGAGGGTCAGGAGAGGTCTGCTGCACCATGTGGGTCAGCTCCCTGGTGGGGCATAGAACTCTTGCTGAAGTGGCTGCTGATATCTTCATAGTGCTGAAACTTAACCCCTTGTACCACCAGGGGAGGACTTGATCATGACTTTAAAATGCAGCCATTTGATAAAATTCATTCCAAAAATGTGCACGTACCCAGGAAAAAAATTTCCAGGTTGCCTACCATCTTTTCTAGGCAATGGACTTTTCTTCTGAATACTGGGAACCAAGGAGTTGAAAAAAAAAATAAATTAGGTAAGCTAAATTTATCTGCATATGGTTGCCTTTGTGACAGTTTAAGAATTTGAGTTCATTTATCTTTCAAAGTATTTGTAAGCAGTTTTATTCCACTGAAGGTTGGGATCATCTAATGCTATGTATGAAATTTGGTTTCTCTAAAAATAATGTGAACCCAGTAAGTGAATAATATCTTACCTTATCCATGGTGGTGGTGGGAGTGGGGGGGGAGGAGAGCTGGTGACCTGGAAGAATCCTTTCTTAGAAGATGCCCAAGGGGGACCAAAATATCTCCATGAAGTCATTAAAATAAAGTCTTTTGGTCACAATCTTTACTTAGTAATGTACACCATTTAAAACCCCATTTCCTCATACCTCCAGTTACCATTTGAGGAGTTTTCAGGCTAAAAAAAAAAAAAACTTTCGTGAGCAAGTGGTTATCCTCCCTTGTCATTAGATTAGTGAGTTTAAGAGAATTCCTTTGCAATCACAGAGAATCTCTCTATCGCTCTTAAAAGCTGGGCTTATCTAAATAGTGTGACTGCCCTATCTCTTAGCTGAACAGATTATACAAGCAGCATTTAGATTTACTTTTTGTCTCCCCCTGTATTAATAGGCTGTTAGCTTTTTCACACTGAGATTTTAAGCAAAAATCAGTTTCAGTTCAGTTCATTTTAACTATTTCTCTCATGTACTCAAGTTCATATTTTTGGATCTTCAATTTTTAAAAACGTTTCTCTTATGTGTTAGTCACAGACAGGGGACAAATGCCACCGATGAAAGATGACAGCTTTTGTTGGTGGGATAAGCGGGTGGGGCCCCGGAGTTGGTAGGCAGGTCGTAGGCTATGCTGGCGCTGGTGAAGGTCACCAAGGCCTGGGTAGAGTCACAGGACTGTTTCTCAATGTCATCAGAGTTAATAGACATGAGGCTTGCGTGTTTCGGTCTTGTCCAGAAGTGGGTTCGCTTGCCTAGGTTCCCCAGATCCTCCTTAAAATGGGGGTTGAAGAGGATGTAGAGCAGGGGATTGAGACAGGCAGGAAGTGGAACAATCACTAGAAGAATAAATTTAATTACTTCAGGACTGATAAATGTGAGGTTGAGTAAAGAGGAGAAGGACAAAAATGCCACGGGGCAGTAAAGAATGCAGTTGGTGAAGAGCAACAGAGCAATATGCTTCACCATAGAACAGTCCCAAATGTTCTCCAGGTCTCCCTTCTCCAAATTGCAGTAGAGCTTGGTGTAGGCAATGGTCATCACGAGGAAGCAGAGGGAGTTGAGCAAGACGAGCGCGACCATGTAGCCCGAGGCGCTGGGCTCCCCGAAGGGCAGCGGCTGGCAGAACGGAGAGGCGGGGTACTCGCTGCCGCCCAGTAGGGGCACGGTGGCAATGGTGGCTGCCAGCAGCGCGCACAGCACGATGACCGCTTTCAGACTGGAAAAAATCGTCTTCGTTTCAAACTTTGCCGAGCATTTCACAGAGAAGCCACGCTCCAGGGCCGCCAGAGTGAGCAGGAAAACAGACGATTCCGAAGCAAAAATGGATAAAAATCCGACGACCTGGCAGCCGACGCCCTGCTCCCACCACGCTCCGTGCCGGGCAAAGCTGCCGAAAGTGAAGGCGTCCACGCCGGCCAGCACGGCGCTGGGCAGCCCCATGAGCAAATTCACGGCCGCGATCAACCCAATTAACAGTTTTATGGAAGAAATGTACAGAGGGGCCCGGAACACGGTTGAAGTCACTAAGGCGTTACAAGTGAGCGCCAGAACCGCGATGGTCCACACACCGATCCGGATCGGCCAGCTACCGAACAGGTATTCACAGAGCTTGAAGGGGCCTAACATGCAAGAGAACAAAGGCTGGGTATTAAATAAGAAAACAACGGCTGGGTATTAAATTTGGATTGACAGTTCTTGTCAGATTGCCTCTTTGTTTCTCCTCTAAGAACATGGAGAGAGAGGCTGGTAACCGCCACAGTAACACAGGGTGCCCTGGGACAAGCTCTTTTTTTTTTTTTTTTTTTTTTTAAGGTTTATTCATTTATTTATTCCCCCCCTTTTTTTCCTTTAAGGTTTATTTAGAGCAGAACAGGCAGAATGACAGAAACACTGCTGAAGGGAGCAGCAGGCTGGTCAGGGGAAGTCTGCCACACCATGTGGGTCATCCCCCTGGGTGGGGTAGAATTTGTGCTGCAGGGACTTTGGTGAGATTCAGAATGTGGTGCTTTAACCCCTTGTGCCGCTAGGGAAAGCCTGCAAGCTCTTTGTTGAACCACCTGCTATGCCTGAGGACCTCTACAGCACTGATGGGCGCTCGCCTTTTCAAGCTCCACACAGAGAAAGGAGATGGTCAATTTGAATCACTTGATTAAGGTACCCCAAATACAATGGTGTTGGGGTCAAGATTAAAAAAATCAGGTCTTTTGGGTTTTTATCTCTCTCTTTTTTTTCTTCAGAATTCTTCAAGTCCTTTCAAAAGGTTCTGTAAATTGAGGAGGAGCCCTAAACGCTCCATAGTATTAGAAGTGTGGCTATATGAAGGTGCATTTAATGAAAATCTTCTTTTAGGTTTAGCTTGACATTTGATATCAGGGGAAAGGGATCATCTAATTGTTAAAAATAGAGCATCAGGGCCCTCCCTGGTGGTGCAGCAGGTTAAAGCACAGCACTGTGAAGCGAAAGCCACTTTAGCATGAGTTCGATCCCCGCCTGCCCCGGAGGTGACCACATGGCGTGGCAGACCTCTCCTGACCCGCCCGCTGCTCCCCTCAGCAGTGTACTTCGTCGATCTGCCTGTTCTGCTCCCCACTCTGTCTCTGGTGAAGCCTCTCACCGACCCTGCACCTCTGGCCTGTACCCCAGTTCTGTATGCACAAATAAACAAATTTTCAAAAAATAAAAATAAAAAATAAAGCATCAACACTTCTCAACTGTCTTTTGTTTGTTTTTTGATCAGAGAACTACTAGGTGAATTCAGTATATCTTTATATATTTATATGCATATATATATATACATGTTAAATAAATACACTATATATATGTATATACACACACACACTTTTTACTTAGCTGTATAAGTTAATTTTTGATTTAACAAAATATCTATTAGGAAGAGTTAAATGCAATCACTTCAAAAAATATCATTGATTACAAAAGAAAGACTGTGGCATAATAGTTCAGGTTAAATTGCTAACATCATTTTTATTTTCTTTAATATCATCTAAAAATATTTATTTATGCTTATAGAACTGGGGTACAGGCCAGAGGTGCAGGGGTGATGAGAGGATTCACCAGAGACAGAGTGGGGAGCAGAACAGGCAGATCAATGAAGTACACTGCTGAGGGGAGCAGCAGGTGGGTCAGCTCCCTGGCCAGGGATCCAACTTGTGCTGCAGTTGCTTTATAGAGCTCCATGATGCAATGCTTTAACCCGTTGCGATACCAGGGAGAGTCCAATATTATTTTTAAATGACATATTCTTTTAAATGCACTATGGATTCTTTAGTGTCCATTTATCTGATTAAAAAACTCTCACAAAAATCCTGCTTTTGAATGGAGACAACTCTAAGGGACAACCATTTATATTTTACAGTTCCCCATGAAGAGATGTGGATAAGCATTGATTTTGCTTTGAAACGTAGCCAAGATGTGCTTGAATGGTCAAAGTTAGAGGTAGCTACCCCTGCTGAGGCCACCCCAATGCCATGCTTACCTGGGGAAGGTGAGCACTGCACCGAGTGAAGGGCTTTCAGATCTTCCTCAAAGTCAATCAAAAAATCTTCAAGTTCACGCTCATCTGCAGGAATGAGAAGTCCTGGAATGTTAGCGCTCTCTTTGTGGGAGAACAAATCTCATGGAGGACAGTCCTACATTACACTCCAGATAGGACCTGTCACAAAGGAAATTGACCTTCAGATGTCCTCTTTTCCCTGGGCATTGGCTTTCTTACAAGTCTATTATGAAGCTGCTTTTGAATGTTCTACTCAAATTACTGCATGGCATTCTAGTGTTCTAGCTGAATTGGGACAGTGATGTCAGACTGCTGATCATAACAAAAAATCTCCAGTTTCCTGGAGTCATGATGGTCCTAAACTGTACTGACCAAAATTAGAGGCTGTGGGTCTCTCCATTCAATGGGAGGGCCACCTGACCCACATTTCTGAGAGAGCTGTAGGCAAATGTTCTGGGTGGTGGTCTCTGAACATAAGAGGAAAAAGTCAGGTATAGGAAACTTCAGTCTTTTGTAGGGAATCCTGTTTAAGAGGACAAACCAAGCAAGTGTTTGGTGCTTGATTTTGCTGTCCATGAACCAGGAATTCTGTGATGTACACATTTCCCAAAAGATGCTGGTATAACTGCTCTGGTATGGGACCTGGGCATCAGTATTTTTTCAAAAGTTTTGGTGTGATTCCTATATGTACCCAGGGTTGAGAATTACTGTCTTAAAAAATATTTCATAAAGGGCTTGGTCTCTCTTGTTCATTGTGTAGCTCTAGGATCTAGAAGAGTGCCTGACATACAGTAGACATTTAATTTTTTTTTTTTTTTTTTTTTTAGGGAATAAATACAGTAAGAAATTGGGGTGGATGAAGGTGGAGAAAAAAAAAGTAAGAATAGGAGCAATACACACTGTGGTCTAAAAGAAGCCAAGGGCCAGAATATCTGCTCCTTAAAACTGATATGCACAGGAAGAGATATTCTGTAGTCAAACTGAATCAAACTAGCTTGGGAATCAACAAGTCATTAAGGCCATAGAAAGAAAAGCCAGTCTATTTAGACTCTGTGCAAACTTGCAAGGTTGGCAGGGAAAGGAAAGTGGGCGCTGCCTTGAGGACTCCCCATCACCACAGGTGTGGTCGGCCTGCATTGCTGACTACTGAAGTAAGGTCTTACTTCAAGGAAAGCCAAGTGCTTCACAGACATTATCTCATTTTACCTTCCTGACAGACACCCCTGCAGGGGGTAGGAGGAAAGAGTGTTTAGAATTAGTTGGATTTCTAAGCCCTTCTGCTGAAATTGGAGGCATCTAAATGCCTGTAGCTTCTATTCCCCCCAGGTCATAAGAACAGAAATACATTTTATGTACTGGAGGAAAAAAGTTGAGATGCATATTTGTAAAAGGTACCCAGAGGGATGAGGACCTTTAAAAAGCTGATGGTAATTTAACATTAACATTAGTAGTCATCCCTCAGGGCAATATATACTAAAAGGGACCCAATTATATATATTAAGAATTCACTCACAACAAAGCTAAGTTTTATAATGAATCCTGATGGACTTTTTCTCTGTGAGTCTTTGAAAATTGGGATTGATTCCCAATTTGCAGAAGTGCCACACAAGAGCTTGTCTGAATTTGGACCACTTTTCAAGATCTACGCAGCCACACTTTTATTGCCATGACATAGCAGGCCTTACCTTGAAGTTGGAACATTCCTGCATCTTTCCTGTGAAGGTCATCTGTACTGCTGTTGTCTCCTTTATTCCACTGATTAGAAATTTTATAGACATTCTCACACACTCCAAATGCACAGCACTGGTAAGCATAAGGCATCTCAATCACCCTTTCAAAGAACAAAACAAACAAAAACACAGGTCAAGTCTAATGTTCATCTTTTATGCAATCATTGTCTTTGGATTTTAGCCTAAATAAATAATAGAAAATATAAATCATGCATCTAAAAATGTTCATTATAGTGCTATTTACAACAACAATGTAATTGCTAACAGTTATTGCTATGAAATGTTGATAACTGCTGAAGCTAAGTGATGGGCATATCACATTATTTTCTCTACTTTTGTGCTGGAAAATTTCCATAATAGAAAACCTAAAAAATGATTGCTAGGAAAGTTGTACTTAAAAGTATTTATGACATAATGTTAAGTGATGAAAACATAAGTTTATATGCATACTACTACTCTAACAATTAAAAGTACACTTGAAACAAAATCTGGAAGGAAATATCAAAAAATGTATTAGGGTTTTTTTAATATAATATAATATAATAGTTTATTTTTACATCATTTCGTACTTTTTTTTTCACTTCAATTGTAATCCCTGTGGGTTTCCCATCACCGAGTCACCCGTGTGCATCACCATAGTCCCCTGCACTTCCCTGCCCTCCCACCCCGTTTTTGATCCCATTCCCCACTCCACCTAGGGGGTATTTTTTTTAAAGATGTTTTTCTCTCATCTACTTTCTACTCTAAACTTTTAGGATTGTCATACTAAAAGTTTGTTTATGGTTTCAAAAGTAAAAAAATAATGTGGTTCGATATACATACATATATATGTTTTTATACACACACACAAACACACACACACAAATCTTCCAAAGCACTTTTTTTTTATCAATAATAAACATAACTTTTTTTAAAAGAGCATAACTTCCTTAAATAATGAATTTAGTACATCTAGAGCAGACACAAGTGAGATGAATTAAAAAATGTAAACAGGAGTACGATAAAGTTATAATGTTATTTAATTACATGTTCTAGTTTATATCCCATGGATCAATGATTTTCAAACTCTTTCCATGAACTCTATGATTCCGGGAGGCATCTCTGAGAACAAAAGGAAGTGTGGCCAGCAAGATCCATTCTCCCTCTTCAGGGCTTGTCCTAACAATGCCCCAGGGGTGGGGGACTTGAAGGCATGAACTGCAATTCAAAAGAGTCCCATAACCTCATAAATTTTGAAAGCCACTATAACACGTCTATTATTTCACATGACCACAAATGTATCTTATTAGCTTTAATGACAAACTCACTTGAGTTCTGGAAAGTTTTCAGATGATATCAAGCTCTGTAAGTCATGATTTCCTGTTAATTTTAAGTGAGTTAAACCATGTAACCCAGTTACAGGAAAAGACGACAGGCTGTTGGCCGATAGGTCCCTGCAAAACATCAAACAACAATTGGCTTTTAGTCTGTGTTATCATAAAGTGCCTATGTTCAAAAAGCAACCGAAAGATTATCAAACTGCTCAGTAAAAAACTCTAAGCAGAGTCCTTATTCATAATGAAAAGGGAACCATTTTGTTTGAGTTCCTGAAAACGTTTCCATATTCAATCAAAATTGTGAGGGTAAAGGGGGGTGTTTTAATCACATCCAGATTGTAATTTCTAGATTCAGCTTTATTTTGTCAGATAGGAACATCTAAGATCAAGGTGAAGGTGTTGCACGCAGTTTTAAAATGATGCTGACTGGATTAACTTAGTGATGACGGCAGAGCGTCATCCTACCAGCCTTCTGAGCTCTACTCCTACCAGCCTTCTCTTACAGTCTGACCAATCCCTCTTTTCTCTGTTAGGGAAGGATGAGGAAAGAAGGATAGGTGGGAAGGGGAGGGGAAAAACAAAGGACAAGGAGATTTTCTGTCAGTCAAGACTGTAAATTATAAAACAAAAGCCCCTTAGAACTGAACTGAAATACTTGTCAATTCTACCTGATTACTCAGCAAAAATGGACAATTTCACCTCAGTAACCAGAACCAGATCTTCAATTATCCACCTAACGGCCCATATCTCTCATCAGATACAGCTCTGGATGGCTAATGTTTGAGTGTTGGGTAGTCCATGCCTGTGGGCTTCTTTAGCAAAACTAACATTTTAAATTAAATTGATGATCCTCAATTATTAAAAGACTTGCCATAAGCAAATGAAATACTCACAGCTTTCTTAGAGATGGCAAAGTAGAAAAGGCATTGGGGTGAATAATGGCAATTTTGTTCCAGGCCAAATTCCTATTTTAAAGAAAAAGTAAATAAAAGCAAATTACACACAAAAATACCATGTGAAGTTTTCCCATATATATTCATTCTCCTACTAAAATTTAATTTTCATTTAATCAATTTAGTTTACCAAGTCATCCATCATAGAATAAAATTGATTAAAGAGAGAAATTTAAGTCAACCTCATTTAAATCAATCAAGGAAAAGTCATTCAGGTGAATATTTTAGTTTTTATTTTCTTCTTGCTTAAGTTGACTGTAACATGGTTGTAAAATTTTATTAGGGCATTTCTAAGATCAGTGGAGGTAAGAGTGGGAAGAGAGAGGAACTTCTGAGGTTCTTCCTCTGACAAGCAAGTAAATTTTAAGTTATAAAATGTCCCTTGATATGGGCCATATTGCCCACGCATGTCAGGGTTTAAAGGGAAATAGAGATGCCTTTAAAAAAAATTCTCCATAAAGGAGGTGGAAATTTTAATTTTTTTTTAAAGATTTATTTATTTATGCATACAGAACTGGGGTACAGGCCACAGGCACAGCAATGGTGAGAGGATTCACCAGAGACAGAGTGGGGAGCAGAACAGGCAGATTGATGAGGCACATTGCTGAGGGGAGCAGCAGGTGGGTCAGGAGAGGTCTTCCGCGCCATGTGGGTCACCTCCGGGGATCAAACTCAAGCTGAAGTGGCTTTAGGTTCTTAGTGCTGTGTTTTAACCTGCTGTGCCACCAGGGAGGGCCCAGACATTTTAATTCTTAACTGGGAAATGAATAATAGAGAGGCTAACCTATGTTGGGAAAAAAAATCCTGTTATAATTATAGATATGTCTATAATTTATGGAGAAATTCACTCAACACACATATATAATAAAACAGATACTTTAGCTGGAATAAGAATTTCCACATTTAAAAAAAGAATGGACTTAACATTTGCCTTTTCAAAACGCTTAACTAATAAGGTGAATTAAGGCATTTGAGAAACTTGGAGGTGATCATAATCACTTTTCTCTACCACCGATAAGTCATTTATGACCATCAGTTTCCCTGATTATGGTATTCACAGAGTATATATATTCACATTTGAAAGCTTCCTTCATTTGCAGGAAACTTAAGGATTTTTTATCCTCCACCTTTCTGGTCACAGAACAGAAGAAAACCCCAGCTAACAAGAGGAAGCAATGACCTAAAGGCACAGGAAAACTAAGAATAACAGTCCAGCTTTGGGGAATTGAGGAAAGAGCTGCCTTCTGTAGAACTGCTCATGAAGTATGTGTCCAGTGAGGGAAACAGGTCATGCCATTTGTCAAAGTCCCTTTGACAGCTGTAAGTAGAACATGGGGCCCCATGAGCGTCACCGAGCAGCATACCAGGAAAGTAGGCCATGGGGCTTTGTAGAAACCTGACTGGGTTTTAAGAAAAAATGGGGGAATTTATATGTTCAAAGGACTGTAATTCCATTGCTATTTGTGAGCCTGAGCTGGAATCCTCTGAGGCCTCAAAGCCCCAATCCTGCTCTGTATTGAACCTCAGGTATCCGAGCAGGCTGCAGCCCCAGGAATCCTGTGCTCCCAGTTGGATTCGTTGTGGAAACCCCCTGAGGAGAGAGCTGGGACTCCTGGCTTGGTCCTTTTGTTTTGGAATCTTATCTCTGGCAGCAGCTCCTTGTGCCTTACTTCTTTTGGGGGGTTCCGAAGCACACTTTCCTCAGTCCCAGTCACACTGGGTCATACACAGCCCTCCCTTGCTTGCCGCCCGCCAACCTCTATGTAAGTGTCCCTTCATTTGAACCATCTAGGGTGAATTCGTTTCCTGCCAGGACTTTCCCTGATGGACCCTAAAATGATACATACTTTGTTCTAATAATGATGAGAATAATAATAATAACGATAATGAGACCATTCCATATTTAATATGTGCCAGGTTATGAGCTTTTTTTGTTTGTTTTTTTAAGTGTTTTATTTCATAACCCTGAGCACAACTTTAAAAGTTAAATTATCATTAGTCCCGTTTTACTGGTGAGTAATGAAGCATCGAGTCGTAAGTGACTTGCTGAAAGTCAGAGTTAATATCAGGAACTGGGTTTCAAATTCAAGCTGATATTTTGCTCAGAACTTGTTTGGAATTCTTAAGTAAATACTGAAAGAGCCACTGCACTAGACCTTAGGGTTATGAGGATAAAGACGTTGTTGTTTCCAGGTAGATTGCCCTCTGCCTGATATCAGTGCTGAGTACAGAACTGGGTGGCAGAGGTTTTGCAAAATGCACCAGGTAGAGCTCAGTGCAGGAGCTCTTATTCCTGGGATGAGCAGAGGCAAGTTGAGTGGGGAGGAATCCATGGGGACCGGGAGAGTCAGCAGCAGAGTGTTGGAGGACCGGGAACTCGTGGGTGACATGATATACCAGGAGGTTGGAATCGGGGTTTTGAAGGACCATTCTGGGAAGTCTGGTCTTAGTCTTGAAGACGGTAGGGGAAAAACAGATTTTTGAACAAAGAAGTAACACGACTCACTTTCTATTAAAGAAAGGTGTCATTGGAGGATGAGATGAATGGGTAGAGACTGATGGTGGAAAGACTGGTTAGAAAGATGATGGTGACCCAAGTGACAGATTCCATGGGCCTGAGCTAAAAAAGTATGAGTTGGGACTGGTGTTGATTGGTTTAAGGATGTGAGGCCCAAGGGGCAGGAAGAATTCAGGAGGGGCTTGACATGTATCCTGCAGAAACTGCGTCACATTTTTTTGGTATCCTTAGAAGTCAATCTCTCTCCTTTTTAAAAATATATGCAGGGTATCCTGGTGGCTCAGGGATTAAAGACAGCACTAGGTGGTTAGGTCTTCCACTGCAGTACAGATTTGATCCCAGGCCAGTCAGGGAGGTGACCCACATGGCACAGCAGACCTCTCCTGACCTGCCCGCTGCTCCCCTCAGCAGTGTACTTTGTCAATCTGCCTGTTCTGCTCCCCAGTCTGTCTCTGGTGAAGCCTCTCACCCCAGAAGCACCTCTGGCCTACACCACCTATTTATAAATAAATAAATCTTTTAAAAAATCAATAAAATATATGCAACTTATATGTGTATATATGCAGATATGTGTATAGACATACACAGTATTCTTTTTTATATATTTGTGTGTGAGAGGGAGAACATTTAAGTTCTACACTCAGCAAATTTTAAAGACTACATTGTTCTCAACTATGTCAATCTTTTAAAATAAACCTGACTTTTGCAAACTAAGAATTCCAACTTGGTGAATAAGGCAGGTAGTAAAGGTAAATAAGGCATTTTTTTTGTTTTATATTTATTTTAAAGAAGCAAAAGGGTTTCACAAAGTGATTTAGAGCAAAAATAAGGAACGGGCAATACAATTTAATTCAGAACAAGATGGCTTTCAAAATAAATTTTTAGGAGAAGGTAATTCTTAAGGATGAACTTAGAACTGTGGAAACAGTATTATTTCATGAGGGGTTAATCCCTTAACTGTCATTAAAAACTAGGAAAGAGGGCCCTTCCTGGTGGCACAATAGGTTAGGATGAAGCACTGCAAGCTGGCCGCAGCCACTTCAGTGGGAGTTCGATTCCCTGCCCTGGAGGTGACCACATGGCGCGGCAGACCTCTCCTGACCTGCCCGCTGCTTCCCTCAGTGGTGTACTTTATCCATCTGCCTGTTCTGCTCCCCACTCTGTTTCTGGTGAGTCCTCTCGCTGCCCCTGCACCTCTGGCTTGTACCCCAGCTCTGTATGCATAAATAAATAAATCTTAAAAAGAAAACTAGGAAAGAAAAATTTTTTAACAATATACTGCAGTTTAAACATATTGTCACCATTTCTCAAAATTACTCTGAAATTCAGTTATAGGATAGAAAAGTTTTTAACTGTCAGTAAAGAAACCAGTTAATAGGTATTTTTTTCTTTCAAGTTATGGTTAATATATGGCTTCTTAAATGGAATATATTCATAAAATTAAGTTAAATATTTACAAAGTTTAGTCATCTGAGCAACAGAAGTAATTGCTACAAGTTGTGATTACACCTTAGAGTACTTGTTAAAATGCAGCTGCTGGGGCCTGCTCAAGGTCTGCTAACTCAGGAGGCAGGTAAGGAAGGGCAGGCTTTCACAGAAGCCCCAGGTGATTCTTAAGAGCTCTGAGACAAATGTCAAGAACTGTTTAACCAGGAAAGCAAAACAGGCAGGAAGAATTTCATGTCATCAATTTGTACGCAAAGCAATCCCTGTCAATCCCAGACCAAGGACAGAAACACATTTTGGAGGCCACTCAACAGCTTGACCTGCCTCCTTTTATTATTTTTTTTTAAAGATTTATTTATTTGTACATACAGAACTGGGGTACAGGATAGGGGCTCAGGGGCGGTGAGAGGCTTCACCAGAGACAGAGTGGGGAGCAGAACAGGCCCACTGATGAAGTACACTGCTGAGGGGAGCAGCGGGCGGTTGAGGAGAGGTCTGCCACGCCATGTGGTCACCTCCGGGGCAGGCGGGAATCAAACTCATGAGGAAGTGGCTTTAGCTTCTCAGTGCTGTGCTTTAAC